CAGTGTGTCGGAAGATGCGATTAGGGCGTTGGAGGCAACTACAATTTGTAGTTGTTCTTCAGCTGTTTTCTCGATATAAAACTTCATGTTCAGAGTTTTTGCGAATGATTTAAACAACAAAATGGCGCTAAAAACTGGAATGCGTTCGATTAATCCTTATGAAGACGGTTCCCAGGTTAATGCAGTGGGAACTGCACTCACGTGTGCGGTAAATTAATAAAAATGATTAACACGTATCTATATTTTATATTTACAAGACGTTGTCGTGTACTTTGAGTATTTAACTACTTAAAATGATGTACATGAGTGCATTGTGCACTTCGTTAGTTAATTGGCTATCCATTTAGCTCGCCGTTACAAGTCCCGAATTCCAATTACCCAAACAACTAAAGCACGCGTTCGGCCTCTATAAATAAAATCACTCGGTTATTAAAAAGATCGTCACGTGGCACGATTCCAGCAGTTCGACCAAACACTTCCGGCAAAAATTTCACCTCCTCGCGAGATAAACTCATCATCGTTAAAGCGGGATCGCGTCCAAGTAAGCAAGACGTTAAGGACGACAAAGTTACGCGGATGAATGATGCGACAACTCAAATAAAATAATTACAGACCTGCCCGTACAATAAATTATAAATTTATTAATATTATAGAACCGGCTGAGGTTGGGAACCGCTCAGGGGAAGGTTTTTTCGCAAATTGTAGGTACATAGTAGCAATTATTTGATGTGCAATTTACCAGCTATAATTTATTTGCGTCTCGTGTATTTAAATTTTATTAAGTGGGTTGTTATATAGATTTAAGCTTAGGCTGGCATTGCGGCGACTAACTAGCATACCAAAGTACCAGGAAGTCGCGGTACCGGTGCATCGCCCGCATTTATATACCCATTTTTTGATAAAACAACACTCATTGGTATGCTACGAAAAATTTTTAGCCTGCAAACAATGTTAACGCAATATCATTCTGTAGAACTGCACTTTCCACCTACGTTTCCTTCTCTACAGCTCTTATTACATAGGCCACGTCCTATACCAGGGCTGTTCTCGTCAATCAAACTGCACGTGCATTCACATTCACAGCCAAAACTCACTTTTGGCTCAGCGACGTATACGTCTGGTTAATTTCCCATTGCGAGTACCCTCTTCCGACAACAGCTCGCTAGTGTAAATAATCCTCTAAATAGCCCCAATAGTTTCAATAAGTTTCAACGGCATCAACGGTTTCAATAGTATCAGCAGTGTGTCTGAAAGTTCGGAACCTCGGTGCTAAATGTACCACATCACAACAACTTACCCGCAATGTCTTCAACTTGGAGCCCTTCGAAAATGATGTACGTTAACCTTGGAAATAGACTGGAGTAGTAATACTCTAATTCACAGTAAAATGACATTACGACAAATAAGTCTCTTAAATGTAGATCTCGATCAAGAAGTCTAATCAGATAAAGAACCAAATTTACTTCGTGTAATTAGTACTCGATCACAAGTGCAAAGTAAATTTTAATTAAATGAATGTAAAAATTCAGCGTTAACTAATTTCGGTTAAATCATTGGTTATGCTGTTATTGATGTCGTACATGTTATCTAATATAGTTCTTCACAAAATGTCGGCAGGATGTCATGAACGGACAGTTTTCCTTTTCGAAACCTTCCAATTGTCCTCAGTACACAATTTACAGTGAGAGCAATACGAGTCTCACTGACGAGGCCAGACCCAGTTGACGTCCTCTAAAAGTTAACCCATCAAGGTCCGCTCTCCTTCTATTCGAAAATGGAATAACTTCGGATTTTTTCGGGTTAACGGAGACAAAACGGAGAGACCATGGCTACTGCACCACCTGCCCACCTGTTCAAGAGCCCTCTGCATGAGCCCTTTCACGGTGTTTGGAAACTTTCCAATTATGATGATCGCCAAATCGTCCCGCGTACCCCTGTGAGGTTTTGCCCCGTAAGGATCTTACGAAGTTTTTGACCTTCAGGAAGACCCCCATGTTACAAAAGAAGGTCCTCCATGATCCTCGTTTAGACCTTCGCTTCCCAATTCACAAGCAGCTTCGTTTGCATGGTTCCATTAAAGAGAACCTCCTTACGAACATTTTCTAGGTCTGAGTTCGACCAGGGTGTTCTCTCCGTTCCTCAAAAGGTCTGCAGTTTGTAGCTGTCCTCATACGCCACTGTTATGACTGAAGGTTACCTTGTCCATCACTGATGTACTAGGTTCCCCACTTCCCTTGTGGTGCCGACGATTCCCACCACTGATCGAATCCAACAACCGCCACACAACCCAAAATCACTTGGGGGTCACTATCGAGGTGAGCCCCTTCCGTCGCAACAGAACTGGGCCCCAGGTTCAACAGTCTCAACAATCTCAAATATACAACAGCCTCAACAATCACCAGTCTCAACCTAGGGGGAAACAACTTTGAATTTTCGTGTACACCCCTCTGAATTAATTTGAATTAACGTGAATTAATTTGAATTAGCCTGAATTAATTAGAATTAATGTGAATTAATTAGAATTAATGTGAATTAATTACAATTAATGTGACTTAATCTGAATTAACGTGAATTAATTTGAATTAATGTGAATTTATTTATTCATGTTCATGTTAGGGTGCAAAACACACAATTGTCAAAAAAATTTTACATGTAAAAGTGTATATAACATAACAAGTCAAAATTAATTTGAATTAGCGTAAATTAACATGAATTAACATAAATTAATTTGAATGTGAATGTTTGGTGTACACCAAAAATGGTACTTGTTCCCCTTAAGAAAAATTCGTTTCTAAAAAATCATCGATTCCTGAAAAAATTGCCCTTATAAATCCCCAGAAAATTCGCTTCAGAAAATTTTGTTGCGCTTAAAAATTCGCCCTTGGAATGTTTCATCCCTAAAGGCTTGTTCCCGGGAAAGTTTCTCACTGGTGATATTCGCTATAGAAAAATTCTCATCCTGAAAGTATAGCCTCGAAAAAATCGCTATTGTGTTTGATCTTGAAAGACTTGTTCCCGGAAAATTTCAAAATTCCCTATGGAAAAATTCGCTTCGGGAAAATGTAGGCTTGAAAAAGTCGCCTTGGGGATATGCGCACCGGAAAATTCTTTCCTGGAATAATTGTATAACAAATTTTTGACCTGGAAATTTAAACACGAAAAAATCGTTTTTGGAAAACTTTTCCCTGGAAAAATTTGCCCCCAGAAAATTTAGTCTCGAAAAAATCTCCGTTGGAACATTTGAACCACAAACACTCGTCCTGACAAAATTTGCCCCGGAAAATTCGTTTCTCAAAAATCGCCGATTCCTGTAAAAAATCGCCCTTAGAAATCTCCTGAAAATTCGCTAGGAAAAATCGCTCTCATGAAAAAAGGCTCGTAAAAATCTACCTTCGCTAGAATACTTGCGTGGATAATTCCAGAAAAGTTGATGCGCTCTAAAAATCGCTCCTGGAATATTTGACCCCTAAAAACTTGCCCTCCGAAAAAAATATACGAGACAAATTCGCTATGAAAAAATCGCCTTTTTAACATGGTTCCGTGCTTCAACCCGTAAATTCATACAGGAAATATTCGCCTCTATGAATTTTCCTCCCGTAATATTTGCGTGAAAATTTCACCCCCAACAATTTTCGGGAGGGTTCTTCCTGGAAAACATCTTTCCTAAAACTCCCAAAAACTACAAGGAAAATTGTTCTGGGAAAATTCGCCTATGGAAAAATTCTCTTCCGAAAATTTTGCGGAAAATGTAGGCTTCCAAAATTGCCCTTGAAACATTCGTCCAGAAAAGGAAATTCGTCTACAGAAAATGTTGAAAAAATCATCTTTCGAATATTTGGTCCACAAAAAATCGTCAAAGAAAAATTTGCGTTGGAAGTTGACGCCCTGGAATACTCGCTTAAAAAACTCGCCCCGGAAACTGGCGTGGAAAACTTGTCTTCAGAAACGTAAAAAGATCGCCCTTGAAATATTTGACCCACAAAAATTGTCCCCTCAAAATTCGTCTTGGGGAATATTTGTCGTGGAAAAATTCATTTCCAGAAAATTCGCGTACGGAAAATTTAGCCTCCAACAAAATAGGCCTTGGAATATTTGACACTTAAAATCTCGTCTCCGAAAAATTCGCTCTGGGGAAATTCTCTATGGAAAAATTCTCGTCTTGAAAATTTAAGATGAATAAAATCGCTCTTGGAAAATGTTTCCCTGCTATACTTGTGTAAAAAATTTGTCCCCAGAAAAAATCCACCATTGAAATATTTTACTCGCAAACCCTAGTCCTGGTCAAAATTTGCCTTGGAAAAATTCTAGATGGAAACAACATTGAATGTTTGGTGTACTGTACACCCCTCTGTGTTAATTTGAACTAACGTGATTTAACGTGAATTAATTAGAATTAACGTGAATTAATTAGAATTAATGTGAATTAATTAGAATTAATGTGAATTAATTAGAATTAATGTGAATTAATTAGAATTAATGTGAATTAATCAGAATTAACGAAAATTAATTTGAATGAACGTGATTCAATTTGAATTAACGTAAATTAATTGATTTAACGTGAAAAAATTCGAATTAACGTGAATTAATTTGAAATGTGAATAAACGTGAATTATTTTTAATTAAAGTGAACTAGTTTGAATTTTTGATGTACACCAAAAATGGTCCTTGTTTCCCCCTAGGTCTCAACAATGTCAACAGCCCCAACAATCACAACAGTCTCAACAGTCTCAACAGTCCCAACGTCTCAACATTTTCAACGGTCTCAACGATCTCAACAATCTTAACAGTCCCAACAGTTTCAACAGTCTCAACAGTTCCAACATTCTCAGCAGATTCAACAGTCACAACAATCTCCAAATTCACATAGCCTCAACAATCACCAGTCTCAACAGCCCCAACAATCACAACAGTCTTAACAGTGTCCACATTCTCAACAGTCTCAACAGTTTCAACAGTCTCAACAGTCCCACAGTTTCAACAGTCTCAACAGTCCCAACAGTCTAAACATTCTCAACAGTCTCGACAGTCTCGATAGTCTCAACAGTCTCAACAGTCTCAACAGTCTCAGCAGTCTCAACAGTTTCAACAGTCTCAACAGTTTCAACAGTCTCAACAGTCTCAATCGTCTCAATAATCTCAATAGTCTTAACAGTCTCCATATTCCCAATAGTCTCAGCAGTCTTAATTGTCCCAATATTCCCAATAGTATTAATGGTCTCAATGGTCGCAATGGTCTCAATGGTTTCAATGGTCTCAATGGTCTCAATGGTCTGAATGGTCTCAATGGCCTCAATGGTCTATTACCCAAAGTGCACAGACTACTCAAATTACTCACACCACTCAACCTACGCTTACAACATTTTGAGCCAAGGAACAGAAATATATCTGCAAAATGGTATGAGTTTGAACAATTTAAGTAATTTGAGTAGTTTGAGTAGCTTGAGCAGTTTGAGTAATTTGAATAGTTTGAGTAGTTTGGGTAGTTTTAGTAGTTTGAATAGTTTGAATATTTTGAGCATTTGGAGTATTTTGAGTATTTTGAGTATTTTGAGTGTTTTGAGTATTTTGAGTATTTTGAGTATTTTGAGTATTTTGAGTATTTTGAGTATTTTGAGTATTTTGAGTATTTTGAGTAGTTTGAGTATTTTTAGTAGTTTGAGTATTTTGAGTATTTTGAGTAGTTTGAGTAGTTTGAGTAGTTTGAGTAATTTGAGTATTTGGGTATTTTTAGTAGTTTGAGTATTTTGAGTGTTTTGAGTATTTTGAGTATTTTGAGTAGTTTGAGTAGTTTGAGTAGTTTGAGTAGTTTGAGTAGTTTGAGTAGTTTGAGTAGTTTGAGTAATTTTAGTAGTTTGAGTAGTTTGAGGAATTTGAGTAGTTTGGGTATTTTTAGTAGTTTGAGTATTTTGGGTAGTTTGCATGTCTAGGAGGACCAATTTTGGGACATTTCCAACAAGATGGCCAAGTCATACAGCAAACCCCACAACAGTTGGTTCAATTAATCAGGAGTTATGGTCTGTCAGGATCAAGGCCAGGATTTAACCCCATTAGATTTTTGTCTATTTCCCATCTCACACAGTTACCTTCGTTTTTTCGTACTCCTGGAAGTTGTTTATTAAAGATGCAAGAAATTATGCCATAAACCCAGATTTCTTCATTTAAAGGTTTTTAGAAGATATAGTATAATTGAATTCCGTGTCAGTAAAAAAGGCAATAAGGCTGTAATGAGGTGTGTTAAAATTAATTACACCTTAGAAAGTGCACTGGTACTGCGCTTACGTAACTTCACCTCACCATCAACTTTTTCACCATTTCGAATAATAAAGAGAGAGATTAAATGTTCAATGTATAGCAATGTTCATTTAAAACGGAATGATAAATCGTTACACGTCTTGTATTCAAGGTGTTATCAACAAATCGGCAAGAACGCCTACCTTTTTCCCCCGCATGTACGTTGTTTACCCAGCACAACACGCGGACGTGAAAAGCCTTTTTTCAATTCAAAAAATTTATTACGAAATGTTCCAGTTAGCGTACAGATTATTAATGAAGGCTCATGCTGCACTCCCATAATTTACGACAACTAGGAGAAGTGATGCTTTAGGCTGATGTGGGAGATATTAGAAATACAATTACAGGCAATTGAAAATGTTAGAGAGTAATCGTAAATTACGATACAAGTTCATATTTCCTTATTAATAAATCTAAATTTGAAATTTACATATTTCACTTATTCACCGTTAAATTATTGCTCAATCCACGAGCGCAATCTTCACCCGGACCACACGCTCGTAATTAGCGAAATCAACCGTCAAGATGATGGCGATTTAAATATAAACGCAATTGCACTTTGCGGGTGATAGGCCACTGGGTTACTTGTTTTATTCTGCACGATTAAACCGCCGGTCTGCATAATTATACAATTGAGGTGTATTAAAAGTCGCTCTTTATTAGAGTGGATATTGCGAAACTGCTTCAATTTTATTATCGTAGCTTAATTACCTGGTAGGTAATAGCAACTTGCCCATTCTAATTTAAAACGTTTCACTTCTGTCAAGGATTATACCAATCTAGACAATCATTTTATTACTCTCGGCTTCCTCTTTGCCGTATTGTTCAAACGCGACCGAAAATCGAGCGCGGATAAAAATTGTCCCAAAACATAAGGATGGAAATAAAGGACAATGACGTTGGCTTGCGCCCCAAAGGGTTGGAGACCGAGCGTGTTGATGTAGAGGCACTCTTCCGCGTGGCAAGCTGGATGAGAAAGACTGATGAGAAAATAATGGAAGTTATACAAGATAAAAAATCTTCACCTGAAATTGGGATGAGATTGGGCCACCAGGCTGCAGGGCTACGTAAACTGACAAGATGGCACTTATATACGAGGTGGTACGGAAGGTGAACCGATCACCGTCTAGTGAAGGGAATGAGAATGGAAGCACCAGGAGTATCTTCGGGATAGCCAAGGAATAGGACAATTTTTATAGCGACTACGCAGACGTTGTCAAAAGATTCTACATACGATAGTGGGAAGGCTTAATTCTTCACCAACTATACAACCACTCCGCTCAAGCATGCGGATGATTGACTTGAAATTATTTAACCGCTCAACGCGAATGCCCTCGTGGCTTGACGCGCATTGCTTCACAGCTTACCACCAACGACCAATTTTTGACTACTAATTTTTTGGCGCACATCGCACATTCAAAATCTGCTAGCTTCCTTCAGCCAATCCGTAGAAAAACCAAACTGACAGTTCTTCTCAAAACTTACACCATGCTCTTGTTGTGTCCGGCAGTCATACCACGAGTGTCGTTAGGTCACACAGACGGCTGTTGATGCGATCTCAAAGCGTCATTCACGGGCAATTCCTACGCAACTTGACTTACCGAAACAGACGTTTACTTTGCCTAGGTTTGTGCCGGCAGTCGATTTTGATTTGATTGGCACTGGTTTTAAGACTATATTTTGTTCAAAAGTTCTATAATAAGAGCCTAGGTCTATTTTATTTCGATGCGTAGAAAAGCACAATTTTGACACAAATTAATTTATCAAATCAAACTTTGCCCAGACTAGTAGTGCCGAACTCATCTTTTGTTTGCTGGGATTTAAAATAGATCTATTATACACTTTTCAAGCCGATTGTTAGTTCGGCACAAACCTAGGCAGAGTTAAAGTCTGTTTCTGTAGGTCAATTTGTGCCGAACTCATTTTCGGTTCACTTGGCACTGGTTTTAAAACTGTCTTTTGTTTAAAAGTTCAGTAACAGATCTATTTTAACGTGAGAGCAAGAGAATTTTCAGCACAAATTTACTTACCCCAGCAGACCTTCACATTCCCAGATTTGTGCCGTAATCGCATTCTGTTTGATCTACAGTTAACTGTTCAAGAAAAAGTAATAGTTACAAAACAAGTGCCGAGTTAGGCACAAACCTAGGCAGAGTAAAAGTCTGCGGCAGTAGGTCAAATTGCCAAAAGTGCTCTTTGATCGCTACGCATTCTGTTCGTGAACTTTTGAATAACAGGTGGTTCTAAAACCAGTGCCGAGTGAGTCGAAGGCTGATTCAGCACAAACCTAGGCAAAGTAAAAGTCTTCTGCGGTAAGTCAATTTGTGCCGCACCCCCCTTCGGCACACTCGGCACTGGTTTTAAAACCATCTTTTGTTCAAAAGTTCTATTCTAATGCGTATAGCGATCCAATAGCAATTTGGGCACCAATTAACTTACCGTACGAGGCTGTGACTCTGCCTAGGTTTGTGGCGTAATTCGGACGGACGTCGGACTTTTGTTCAAAAAGTCAATAACAGATCCATTTTAATGCGTAAAAATACAAGCACAATTACGGCACAAATTTACTTACCGCACGAGAGTTACTTTGCCTAGGTTTGTGCCAAACTCATCGTCGGCTTACCGCTCACTCGGAACTGACTTGACTTTTTTAATAGTTCAATAATAAATTCATTTTAATGCCTAGCGTGCAAAGGGCAACTTCGGCACAAATTGACTTAAGGTAACAGACGTACTTTGCCTAGGTTTGTGCCGAACTCGCCTTCTGTTTGCTCAGCATCAAGATAGATCTACTGTGAACATTTGAAGCAAAAGTGATTATTCCAAAACCAGTGCCGGAGCCCGAAGGCGAGGTCAGCACAAACCTAGGCAGAGTAAAAGTCTGCTGTGGTAAGTCAATTTGTGCCGAACACATCTTCGGCTCACTCGGCACTGGTTTCAAAACCCTTTTGTTCAAACTTTATATAACAGATCTATTTGCGTAGAAATACAAGCACAATTTCAGCACAAATTTAATTACCGCAGCAGAAATAGTTTGCCTAGGTTTGATCCAAACTTGTTCGTTGCGCTCGGCGGTAATTTTGAAACTATTTTTTGTTCAACAGTTCATTAACAGATCAATTTTAGTGCTTAGTGAACCGAGGGCAAGTTCGGCACAAATTGACTTTCAGCAGCAGAATTTTACTTTGCCTAGGTTCGTGCTGAATTCGTCTTCGATGTAAAAGAGATCTAGTAACAATATTTTAAGCAAACGTGCTTATGCAAAAACCAATCAGGGTAAAAGTCGAAACCAAGGCCGAAGGCTAGTTCGGCACAAACCTAGGCAGAATAAAAGTCTGCTGGGGTAAGACAATTTGTGCCGAATTCATCTTCGGCACACTCGATACTGATGGTTTTAAAACTGTCTTTTGTTAAATAGTGAAATAATATATCTATTTTAATGCCTAGAGATCATACCCTGGCAATTTCGGCCCAAATTGACTTACCGCGGCAGCCTTACTTTGCCTAGGTTTGTGCCGGAATTGTCTTCGGCTCGCTCGGCACTGGTTTTAAAGCTATCTTTTTTACTCTGCCTAGGTTTCTGCCGAACACACCCTCGGCGCATTCGGCAAACTACCATTTGTTCGAAAGCTCACTAACAGGTGTATTTTAATGCGTAGAGACCTAAGAGCAATTTCGGCACAAATTGACTTACCGAAGGAGACTTTTACTGTGCCTAAGTTTGTGCCAAATTCGCCTTCGGCTCGCTCGGCACTGGTTTTAAAACTGTTAAATAATCGACTAATTTCAATGACTAGCGATCATGGGGCAATTTCGGCACAAAGTGACTTAACGTAACAGAAGTACTTTGCCTAGGTTTGTGTCAATCTCGCTTTCTGTTTGCTCACCATTATAATAGATTTACTGTGAACATTTGAAGCAAAAGTGATTGTTCCAAAACCAGTGCCGGAGCCGAAGGCGAGGCTAGCACAAACGTAGGCAGAGTAAAAGTCTGCTGCATAAGTCAAATTGTACCAAACAAATTTTCGGCTCACTCGGCACTGGTTTTAAAGCGTTTAAAGGTTTGTGCCGAACACTCCCTCGGCTCATTCGACACAGGTTTTAAAACTTACATTTGTTCGAAAGCTCACTAACAGATCTATTTTAATGTGTAGCGACCTAGGAGCAATTTCGGCACAAATTGATTTACCGAAGGACACTTTTACTGTGCCTAGGTTTGAGCCAAATTCGCCTTAACTTTGCTCGGTATTGAACGAAACTTATTATTAACCTTTCGAACAACCGTGATTGTGCAAAAACCGGCACAAATTTGCCTAGGTTTGTAACGAACACGCCTTCTGTTTGCTCGGCACAAAAATAGATCTACCTACTACTAACTTTTCAAGCAAGATTTATAGTTCCATAGCCAGTGCCAAGGGAGCAGAAGGCGCGAGTTCGGCACATACCTAGGCAGAGTAAAGCTTTGGTAAGTTTAATTTGTGCCGAACTCATCTTAGGCTCACTCGACACTGGTTTTGAAACTATCTTTTTTTTTTCAAAAAATCCTAGAACAGATTTATATTAATGCGTACCAATTCAAGCACAAATTGATTAACCGCGGTAGAATTTTACTCTGCCTAGGTTTGTGCCGAAATCTCCTTCGGATCGCTAGGCACTGGTTTTAAAACTATTTTTTTTGTTCAAAGGTTCAATAATAGATCAATTTTAAAGCGTAGAAATACAAGCGGAATTTCGGCACAAAGGTTTGTGCCTATAAAACCAACTTTTGTTCAAAAGTACAATAAGAAACGTATTTCAATGGGTAAGAGATGCAAAGACAAGTTCGGCACAAATGGACGTACATCAGCTGCAGACTTTTACTTCGCCTAGATTTGTGCCGAACTTTGCTCGGAATTAAAATAGGTCTACTTTTAATTTTGACAAGCAGAAGTGATAGTTCCAAAGCCAGTGCGCTAATTTAATTTGTGGCACACTAATCTTCGGCCCATCGCTCACTCGCCGCTGGATTTAAAGCTATCTTTTGTTTAATAGTTCAATAATAGACCTATTTTAATGCAGCCTAGCATTTCGGCACAAATTTACTTACCGCATCATACTTTTATTCTGTCTAGGGTTGTGCTAAACTCGCCTTCGGTCTCGAAATAGCTTTCCTAACAACTTTTTAAGCAAGCGTTATTGTTTCAAAACCAGCGCCGAGCGAGCGGAAGGCGAGATCGGCACAAATTTAGTCAGAATAACGGGTCTCATGGGGTTAGTCGATCTCACATTCCGCTCACTCGGCACTGGCTTTGTTCAAAAGTGCAATAACAGATTTTCAATACCTAGCGATACAAGGGCAATTTCCGCACCCCGTTACTGTGTCTAGCTTTGTTTCGAACTTACCTTTCATTTTAGAACTTTTGTTCGAAAGTTCAGTAACAGATCTATTTCAAGGCCTAGCGATTCCAGGGAAATTTCGGCACCCCGTCACACCTTTACACTGCTTGGGTTTGTGCCGAACGACTATCGTTTTTGCAAAAATGCATCAAATTATCTTCTTAGGCATCGAGCTAGTGCGTTTAAACGTTTTCCTAACAAAAGTCATTTTCGATGTACCTATACCATTGGGTTTGGGTCCACCCCAATTTGCCCTTCCTAGTCAGTTCTCATTCTAGCATCCATCACACGTCTAAGGAAGAGATTAAAGGCATTATCTAAATCTTTCAGACCCTCACTTTATTCTTCTAAAAGCGTGCTTGATTTAAGCCTCTCTACCACTCATTTTTTATATACCTACTGCTGTGTAACTCGCAGAGTTCCCGAGTACCTATCGGTAACTCAAAGAAAAGTAAAATGTCACTCAGAAACTTACAAATCACCACTCGACTTGCCCAAATTAACCAGTAACTCACAATTTTCCGAGTTCATAAACACACGGAACAATGCCGTTCAATAATTATCTTATCCAAACCCCATTAACTTTTAAGGCACTTCTCCATTTTTCAATTTCTGTATAGGGTGATAGTCATTCTTCCCAAATAACGTGCATATCCGCTTGGCTTTAGACACTTTAAGGTTCCTTCTAAAGGCTATCTTGAGGACACTTGAAAACCCAAAGATTTCTAAATCCACACAAAACCTGTTAAAGGCTCAGGTTTCAATTAGCCTATAACAAACGTCAGAGGCTTTAGGTCATCTTACAATTTCTACGAACCCTTAAAGGTTTTCATTAGGTATTGAAGAAGCAACTTCCGACATAACCGCAAGTGTCGCCATATTGGAAATGTATCAATTAATCAGTTCACTTTTTAAACTAATCAATTTTTGTTCGTTTTTAACATCAGCATATGAAAAAGCTGGATACGGACATGCATTACAAAGTAATAAAATAACCATTAAAAAGTCGTTTTACTAGCTGCAGATAATACGGGAATGGATCTGATCACGGCAATACCATTTCGTGGCAAGAAGAAGATTGCCATTTTTTAAGCATAAAAAGGCGACAAGGTTAGTAATGGTGTAATGCGTCTATTGTTATACATTAAAACAATTGTTTACATAAGATTTTTTCATCTCTTAAAATTAATGTCAGTTTAATGATAGAAATGTCATAGCTATTGTGTGTAATTTCCTGATTATAACTTTTACAGGTATGTCACGCCTCGTACCTGAGTGCCGAACGTGATTGGCCACAAACTTTTACACTCCTACTGAATACACTTCCTGTCAAACAATTCGGTGCTATACCGGTTTTGTGTCCGCATCAAGGTGGATGATTCGGCTTGGTCCGCTAGGCGCTTTTTTTTCTCCTCTCCGCCAGATTTACCTTTACTTCTATTTGTCGACAGTTTTCAATTATCTATTGCGGTCAGCGATTTGGGCCCTTCTCGCCGCTAATTACTTTCGTAAATTGGGTTTCTTGCGCGCAAAAAGGTCCGAAACAGTTATCGCAAAAAGCGCGAGCTCGACCGCAAGATTACAAGGTTTCGCGCGCGAAAGCAGCGGTCCCGATTCGAGTCCCTGGGGAGCGTTGCACCCTAATCGCCGCACGCTAATCGGAATGTTTCATTAACCCCAAGCATTTAAATTCATAACAATAATACCTGTTGGTAGGGTGGTAGATAGTCATATCCCTTCCACCTGAACAGGTGTACCTGGTTCTTGAAGCATAACAGTGCGTCGGACACTCACTCGTCCGGCACAGTCGGAAGAGACCAGTCTGTGGATATCATCTTCAGGTAGCCTTCAGGCGAAATTACGCTACTTCCGTTTTTGCGAGTGATCGGCAGTGTGTTAGTGCCCCGAGTGCAAATTTTCCAAAAATTCTTCTTCGATGTGATACCTAAACAAGTGCGCGGTAAATGGATAGTGTGAAGTGACTTTGTGCTGTGCTTTCTTTTTGAGGATTTAAGGTAAATTATGCATTAGATCCTTAAAATCATTGGACCGAGAAAAAATGAACCGTAATACCAAACAATTATGGTACCTATACGGTAATTACCCCGAAAATATTGAAAATTAGGCCAACAGTAAATTACATCACTAGTACAATTAGGCTGCAAGTATATAAGCGCAAATGTTAATTAACGGTCGATTTTTTACACAATTTAGCGATTACGGTTCTGCCATTATCCGCGCCGAACGCGGAATTAATTTTATTAGCCCTTCGCTGTTACGTAACCGGATTTTCAAAAAATTCGCGAAAGTAACGCCGTTTTCGAAATGCCTCTCGCCCAATCTAATTAACTTATATGAAGGTAATTAATTATCACATGACGTGTTTGCAGTAGGTAGGTACGTCGCTTGCAAAACAGAAATTTGCCTCGGCGTTTCCAGACCGAAATAATTACGAGCTCTTCCGGAACTGAATTGAGCAATCGGTAGTATCGATACTAAATTACCACGTAAATATTTAGATCTCCAACGCAAACTATTGTGCGTTTTCTAGACATTAAACAATTTTGGAATTGAATTCTAAGTTACTGTCCAGACGTATCGTTGAAGTCTCCAAGGATATTACTCGGCGCCCTTTAAATAAAATGATATTAATATCGCCCAGGCACATCATAGGTAGATATTTTAATTCAATTCTTATATAATTTGTGCATTTTCGAAATTGCATAATACAGCATAATAGAATTCAAAAAAGTGTAGGTAAATATTTACATCTCCCACGCAAATTAGTTTTGTTAAAAACGAAAAATTTAACCATAGGCTTAAAATGCATCTCGCTATAGTTAACGAAAGTGTCCCGCCGTTAAATATTATTTTTAATTTTTAGATGGATAAAAACATTTATACCTAATACTATTTAAAGTGTCAACGGTTAGAGCCTTAAAATTAACAAACTCGAAAGCGTCAATACTTCTAATCTTAGATAATCGTATATCGTATTAAAATCACCCAAGCAGATTATTTTGCCCCAATTCCTATTTTTGTATTGATCACAACATTTTGAAATTATGTCGAAAATTTGTTAATCTCCCACGCAAATTGGATGATAAAATTCTAAGCGTTTCTATATAAAACTTAAGTTACCAGTTCTTTTTGAATTAAATCGAACAGTAGACATCCGAAGGATAATAAAGTACAAACGTATATCGTTGAAATTTCCATACGTCAATGCATTTCACTGCGCAAACGATATCACTCACATGCAATTTGAATAAAGCCAATATTAATACTGTCAAGGCGTAGGTACAATATTTTGACTCAATTTCTAATTTCTGAATTCAAATAAAACCTCTTTTTTGTAATTTCACTGAAAAATCCAAAATGCGTCAAAATTGATACTCTCATAAAACATATCGTTGAAATCTCCAACGACAATTATTAAACTCCGTTTCGTTTAGCTAGTCGGCGTTTGCAGCGTTTAGAAGTAGAATATACAGAAGTACAGTATTTTATACCTCCTACTCAATTGTTGTTCAAATAAATTTAGTGACTATGGTCTAAAATTTTTCTGTAAAACGTAAATGGTGGAGCTCTTGTGGAATTGTACTGTAAAATGGCCATCCAAGAGTAGAAATTGCCTTAAAATAAATTCTTATTGTGCAGCGTTAAACCGCTCATTGAATAAATAATGATATTAAGATCGCCCATAGAATAGATTATCGACATTTTCAAAATTATTAAGTTGACGGTTACACAAATATTTGCATCACCCACGGCCCACGCAACTTAGTTTCTTGTGAAGATTTCTAATTTTTTATCGATCGCACAATTTTCAAAAATGTTGTATTCGACGTTAGTGTTAATAGAGATAACACAAAACTGTTAATATTTAGATCTCCCACGCGGCTTATTAAGTTGTACGGGGAAAATCAATATACTTTCAAATCTTCGAGGTTCTAATTAGTGGCGCTTATTGCACCTAAAAATTCCTCTATTAAGATCTCCCACGCATAAATAACGTAGTACTTGACGTCTGTCAGGTAAACTTTTTTTCGTCAAATTCCAATACAAGAAAGGCTTTAATTTATGGCCCCCACACCGTACATAGTTTCATAAGCAGATATATGCAAAATGACCCAGCGTTGAAATCTCCAGCTACTGGTGTTCATTTTCTATAAATCTCCACGACAAACACTCAAATGATTATAGTAGAAGCTGATATTAACATCTCCCATATACGTAGTGAGTTTTCATTACCGGGAAGTCTAGTAATTTTGTCTCTAATGCCTGTTGAATTTGTTTCAAATGCTTGAAGATGGAGTGCACAACGAGTAATTTGGTGCACGAGAGCAATAATATTAGCATCTCCCACACGTATAGTGAGTTTTTTTTAAGTGCGTTTGTAGCCGAAAGCATTATCGCAAAGTTGAACGTGTTTTAATACTTGGGAATAGCTTGCGCAACGAGTAATTCGGTCCACAAGAATATCAACTTTGTAAAAATGTTAGCAGTCGATATTAACATCTCCGACACGCATGTGAAGCGTTTTGTAGTTGAAATAATTTACGGAAAATGTAACAATTTGAATTTGTTTGGATCCCTGAGGATCGAATGCGCCAGGGGTATTTTGGCGCAAACTTACAGCGATCAATATTAACATCTCCGACACGTGATAAACTTGCAAGGGAAACGAATAAATCTATATTAACATAGATCTATATCTCAGTTTCAAATTTTCTTTCTGAACAATATTGTGTAAGTAATTTAAGAGGAGATTTGCCATCCCGGCAAAAAGTTTGTTTGCGAGTATCGATGTTAGTATCTCCCACGCGAGTAATTCTGATGCAGGTAAAGTGCCCCGTTAATGAATTTTCATCTCGTTTGGACCCTTGAATTAGCAATAACAACTACTTATCTTAAAAATAAGAACTCGTTACCTTTTGTGTAATGAGTAAATCCATTCACACAATGCGAAATCTCCCACACTTACTTTATTTCCATATGTTTTCATCGTAGCAATGAATGCAAAATTTAAGGCTTTTCTCAAATGATCTTAAAATATCCCAGTTTTTGAAACAACGGCTTCCCATTATCGATATTTACCTGGAATCTTGAACCCTGGAATTTGCTAAGACCTTGCAGGGACTGGAACTGAAAGCTTTAATTTTAAAATTCGCACAGATTTTTAGAATCGAAAGTTAAGCTTAGTATTTAGAACAATGAACCTTTAAACCTGACTCTGAGGTTTTGTCTGAAAATTGAACCTTAAAGCTTAACCCCGCAATTTTTAATGCTTGGGCTTGGCAGTGGATTTGAACCCATACGTTTCAAAATTAACTACGGGCGCAAAAAGTAGGTATGTAGACCCGAGTTGGAGCCGCAGAAGAATAGAAATAACCGTTCGATCCGTTATGAACCGAGTTTCCGTGTTCTAGAAGCAAAGATCGAAAGTCCAAATTTTTTTTAATTTTTCACGTGTCTTTATGAACCCAGTAAATTATGAGTTTCTTTTAAAATCCAGTTGTTTTGAGCTTTCTCAGTCCTTTTCGGTGTAGTCAATCTTATTTATTAACGATACTCGAGAACGTATTTCTGTCTGTTTGTCCGTCCGTCCGTGTACACGATAACTGTTGAGAAGCGTCCAATCGACTATCGAGTCAAAGAACGAACCAGTACCGAGTGAGTTCGAAAACGAGCCGAGTTTCGAGTTGAGCTGAACTGATTTTTTCGACCCGAATTGCGAGTCGAGCTGGAAATCCATAATTTCGAGCCGAGCCAAGTTTTCAAAAACTCCGGCCCGGTCCGATTCTATCCCTAATGTTCTTAAAACATAATCAAGCAGTTACAATCTTGAAAATTAAGGGATGAAAGCTTAGCTAAGAGACCTTTGTCATTAAATCTTGAATCTTCACTTAAATTTCAAAATGCAAAACCTAGGCAGAGTGAAGGTCTGAGGAGAACCGAAATTTCCAAGGTATCGCTAGGCACTAAAAAATTGCCATTGCACTTTTGAACAGTGCCGAGTGCTGAGTTCGACTAACCCCCTCAGGCCTTTACTTTGACTAAATTTGTGCCGAACTTCCCACTGGTTTTGGAACAATCACGTTTGCTTAAAAAAATCTATTTCAATACCGAGCAAACCGAAGGCGAGTTCGGCACAAATCTAGGCAGAGTAAAAGTCAATTTGTGCCGAAAATGCCCATTGATCGCTAGGCACTAGAATATAGGTCTGTTATTAAACTTTTCAACAAAAGATAGTTTTGAAACGAGTGCCTAGCGAGCTGAAGGCACAAATCTAACCAAAGTAAAGGTGAGACAGTCAGTCGAAATTGCCCTGGTATTCTTGGTTTCGCTAGACATTAAAAATCTACTGTTGCACTTTTGACCAATCTTTCGAAAAAAAAGTTTTGAAACCGGCACAAAACTAGACAGAACAAAATGTCAATTTGTGCCGAAATTTCTCTTAGATCTCTAGGCAGTAAATTGATCTGTTATTGAGCGTTTGAACAAAAAATAGTTTTGAAACGAGTCCCGATCGATCCAAAGGCTCAAATTTAAACAAGGCAAGGGTGTGACGGTGTGCCGAAATTTCCCTTGGATCGCTAGGCATTACCATACATTTAATATTAATCTTTTGAACAAAAGATCAGTGCCGAGATAGCCGAAGCCGAGTTCCCTACAAACCTAGGCAGAGCATATGTCAATTTGTGCCGAAATTTCCTTTGGATTGCTAGGCACTAAAATAGGCGAAGGCACAAATATAAGCAAGGTAAAGGTGCGGCGCTGCGGTGTACCCAATTTGCTCTAGGCTAGGCATTAAAATTTTATTTGCACTTTTAAACAAAACCAGAGTCGTCCCATCGGACCTTTACCCTATCTACCGTGGCTTGTTTTGGAACAATCACGTTGATTTAATTATTAGCACATCTATTTTAATACCGAGCAATAAGTCAAAGGCATAACTTTAGGCAGAATAAAAGTCCGCTTCAGTACCTAAGTCAATTTGTGCCGAAATTGT